CAAAGGCAAACCCTTCTAGAAAGTACTGGTGACATCGGTCCTCCTGCCAGGCTCCCACAGGGCTACCATCGAACTCTCAGAGGTGACAGAATGCTCTCTGTCGGTGCCATAGTGGTCACCAGCCAGCTGGGTGGCGTGGCTACCAAGCACTTGAAATGTGGCTACTAGGTTGGTGGATGCCAGGGGCGGGGCAGGGCAGAGCGGGGAGTAACTAGGAACACGCACGGAGTTTCTTCCTGGGGTAATGAAAATATTCTGGAATAAAACAGTGGCGATGGTTGTGCAACTTTGCAAATGTGCTAAAAACCACTGAACCGCACGCTTTAAAAGGTGACTGCTGTGGTGTGTGGATTATATCCCAGTCCTTACGTAGCTGTCTCCGTGACTGCAATATCCGACCGTGCGTCTCGAGGGTCAGACGATTTGGGTTCAAATCCCGGCTTTGCCATTTGCTGTTGCTGCTTCAGGCAGTTCACTTTAACCTGTCTGGGCCTCCGTTTCCTCAGCCGTAGAATGGGGGTAGCCGCTGGACTACCCCAGGGGGTTGTTGTGAAGATTAAATGGTCTTACGTACTAAAACCCCTAGACTAGGGCCCGCACTAGGGCCTAGACCAGGTTGTCAAAGAACTAGCCCATACTAATATTTAACTAGTTTCACAACTGGAAATTCCCCAGGACCCCCCCCATGCTTGTCCGCCCCTGGGCCCCGCCCCCAGCCCCTCCGGCCTCGCCTGCAGATGGTTCTCTGCTGTGTCAACTGTTGCCATAACAACCACTCCCATCTCCCAGCAGCCCGACTTCATTGGCGCAGGTGTCGAATGAAGGGTCTTGGATGAAAACATTCCCGGTCAATCGCGAGGCCCACTGGACAGGAGAGACAGGGCCTGTTAGGGACTCGGGACCGCGTCTCTGGCTAAGGTGGGCGGGCCATTCTTTGCAGGGGCCTGCCCTCCAAACAGCCTGGAGTCGGGCCTTCAAGTGAGAGAAGACTGCGTTGTTTGCAAACACTCTCTCTGGTCCTGATGGGCCGAGAGGAGAAGACAGGAGCAGTCAGCACCCTTTCCAAACAGGAGGCCCTCTCCTAGTCCCGCCACCCTCAGCCCCTGACGGGCAAGCCCTTGCTGGGCGATACGGTGCCAGATGGTAAATGTGGCTGTGCGATGTCACCTGCACTGGAGCCCAGTGCCCATGCTGCACATTGCCTTTGCTGACAGGCTGGGCAAGGCTGAGCCGTGCCCCCCAGAGCTCCGGCTGCCACCCCGCCCTCTCCCCACTGCGGGCGTGGGGATGGGGGTAGAAGGTGACTCCTCCTCATCGAACAAGCTTCTTGGCAGAATGTGGCAGAGGAGCAGAAGTGAGACCACCTGCCACGGATTTGAACCCCGATCTGGTCCCCGCACTCTGGCCCTGAGTCTGAGCTTTCCAGGTGGAGCCCGCAGGTCCCCGAGCCTCCCCTGCGCTGGTTGGCTCACCCCCCGGGAGCCAAGAGTGGGGAGGCTCCCCCAGGTGGGTGCGGCGAACCCCTGGCTGTTCTCCAAGGATAGGGTACAACCTGAGGCCAGGGGCAGGGAGGGTGCCAGCCCCAGGAGTGCGGAGCCCTGGGGTGGGGGGTGAGGGGTAGAGGAGCTGTGCTGAGCAGCTTGGGCAGCTGCTCCCAAGCCTGGCAGCTGCCAGCCCTGTGGCCAGGGCAGCTGAGGACCTGCAGCGCCCCCTGGTGGCCCCTTTCCAGCAACCAGCCCCAGAGACCCCGTTGGGGGCTGGACCCGGCTGGTGTCCTCTGAGAGCAGGACATACGGGCTCCTCTTCTCCGAAGCCTGCCGGGCAGGCATGGGCGTTCTCAGAGGACAGACCGTGGCTCCGTGCCCAAGAGTAAGCCTGGTCTGAAGGCTCAGGACACAGCACAGCGCCTGGCGTCAGGAAATCCGGCTCCTGTTTTGTGAGGAATACCCTATCCTGGCGTGTGCAGCACCGTATCGGTGTTTCTTAAAATGTGGGCCCATCCCACCTGCTGGAGTCACACCTGGCACCTGCGTTTCTAACGCACTCTCAGAGAAAGAAAGAAAAAAATGCTTCTATGTGGGCTTCAGCCAGTTACAGAACTATCGAGCCAGACTGTTAAGGTTGGTTTGAGGCCTTGGGTACCCCAACTCCCTTATTTCACAGATAGGGGAACTGAGACCCAGAGAGGGGAAGTAATTTACACAAGGCCTCAAACATGGGCGGAGGTAATTAAGAGTTCAACAGGCAGTTATTGAAGTCGACTTAATTGTCAGCTAATCATTAAAGTTGTACAGAACTTGGGGAGATTTGCCATCTGGGTGACGGGTCCACTCGAGCCCCTCCTCCATCCCACAGGCCCCTGATCTGTTGAGGTTACAACCCTCCAGTGGAGGCCCCTTATTCCTACAGCTAAACGGGGTGCAAGGGGCCGGGTTGAAGAAGCGACTTCGGTAGGGTGGAGGTGGGCGTGGGGGTCAGGCCTGACGACTCCGGGACAAGGTTTGTCACCACCTCACCCACCCCCTACCTCCGAATGTGACCACCTCCCCCAGCCAGAGTGAGGTCCCAGAGGACAATGTCGGGCCCTCCTGAGCTGTGCCCAGCGGGAATGGCACTGCAGTGAGAGATCCGGGGGGTGCCCGCTGCTCCCCGCCCTCTGAGCCGTCCGACAGACACCCCCAGGATTGTTGGGCACAGCCAACCTCTCAGGGGCCCCCACCCACCAGACCCACCCTGAGAGGAGAATGCCCCCTTGGAGAAGCAGGGTGGCATTTCCACAGTGACCACCAGGGGGCACTGCTGGGCACCGGGAGCTGCAGGGGGAGCCTCCTGGGACCCTCCAGCAAATCAGTGGGAACCCGGCCCTGCGCCTGGGGGAGGCTTCTATTCGTGTCTCTCTGTGGCCCCCAGCTAGTCACCCTTCCCTGGACCTCAGCCCCACGTGGCTCAGTGACCGGGTGGGACTGAGGCCCTTCCGAGGCCTCCGCGGCTCTAACTTCTGGCAGGCCTGTGAGATTTGGGGGCAATCCTGTCCCACTCTGCTGGCATGGAAATAAGGCAGGGGGCCGGGAGGTGTCTTCGAAGGAAGCAAGGTGGGAAGGAGGGCACAGTGCTCGGTGCCCTGAGAAGTGAGAAAGTGTCTCTTGTTCTGTCGCGACCCCCTCTATGGCCCTCCCACGGCCGGCCACTGGGAGTTCCTATTTTTCCCTTACAAAAGAAAGACATCTTCCTAACCGGACGTGTATCCGTCCATCCTTGTGTGGGTGTGCGCGTGTTTTTAACTGTGGTAGCATCCATCCATTCTTGAAACGTTCGCTGAGCACCTGCTGTGTGCCGTCGTTGGCACTGGTGCTGCAGAGACTCCTGAGATAAATCGGAGGGAACGGGAACATCTCCCTGGACGTGGCTCTGCCTGGTGCTCCATGCTGGGTGTGTGGCCTTCAGTCGGCTTCATCTCTCTGAGCCTTAGTTTTCTCATCTGTAAAATGGGACTTGGGCACAGCTCTCCCATAAGCACTGCAAGGATTCAACCTGTGGTGCATGCGAAGGGCTGGCACACTCAGTCTCGGGGCGGCTCCCGGTCACCTCCTCCTGGGGACTGCACACCCCCTGGGGCGTCTCCTCTGTCCAGGCTTTTCCCTGGTCCCTGCCAAACCCATAGAAAGCGCTGCCCTGACCCAGAATCCCACGGCTTGGCACTGTGCTCGTGGCCCCCACGTGGGCATTTTAGAACCAAGCTTTAAAAGCATATACATAGGCTTTCTGATCCCGTCTGTGTTCCTTGCCAAGCCCTCCGTCAAGGCCAGGGAGAGGCTCACAGGGTGACATGTGCCAGGATAAATAGGCAGGGCAGCCACGGGGATGATGTCAGGCTGGGGACGGAGCTTGGGCCCCTGGCAGGGAGGCCTGCGTTTGTCCCTTCTGCCAGCTAACAGCGTGGAGGCCTGGGTCCATGGGGCTGACCGCTGGAGATGCCACCACCCTCACCCCCCCCTCCCACAGGCTCCCCAGGGAGGCGAGGAGAGGGGCTGGGGCTGGGGGTGGAGCTGGTCCTCAGAGAAGGTGCCGCCTGGCCTTCTGCCCACCCTGCCTTACCTCCCTCGGCCAACAAGACAGCCGCTGCCCACCAGCGGCCTGAGCTTAGTCCTGGGGGAAAAGGCCTCCTGAAGGGAGTGAGGCGTGTTCCCTTTGGCGGCTCAGGAACCTCTCAGTCCTGCTGAGCCTGGGGGTGGGGAGGGGCACCGACGGGCAGTGTGGTTGTCAGCAGAGGGTCTGGGGATGGAGGGTCAGGGTTCCCGGGTCTGCTTCTTGCCGTGGGTCCCGGAATCTCTCCCGTGGATGGACTCAAGGGGGTTCTGGATGCCAGTGAGCGACCACGGGTCCCAGAGTCAAAGCTGAGCGTGGGGCAGGGGCAGGTCCTGTGTGTGTCGTGTCCTCAGAGCTGCTGTGGTCTCTGGCTCGCAGCGTGTGTCTGATCCGGGTCCGCGGGACAGACCGATGGAAGCAAAGAGACTATTCCGTTTCTTCATGCCTAGGTACTGCTCTCCTGTTTCCATTTCTTTTCTTTCTGTCTTTTTTTTTTTTATTTTAATGTGTCTTTATTGATTTTAGAGAGAGGAAGGGCGAGGGAGAGGGAGAGAGAAACATCAGTGATGAGAGAGAATCACCCATCGGCTGCCTCCTGTGCGCCCCCTACAGGGGATCGAGCTGGCAACCCGGGAATCGAACCGCGAGCTCCTGGCTCTTAGGTCGATGCTCAACCGCTGAGTCACGCCGGCCGGGCTCCACGTTACTTTCGCCCCGGAAAGAAGACGGGTCGGTTTCTCTTCGCTGTCGTAGACTCTCACGGGACCCGGCTAATAGCCTACCTGCCTGAGAGGCGGGGGACCGGCAGGCCCCAGGACCAGCCCCTGGGAGACGACCGGTCTCGGCTTCCCTGGACCCCCAGGCTCCCAGCAGCGAGTCTTCCTCACTCACCCGGCTGCCTTCCTCCCTCCCAGACCCAGAGTCCCAGAGAAAGAGGACCGTGCAGAATGTCCTGGACCTTCGGCAGAACCTGGAAGAGACCATGTCCAGCCTGCGAGGCTCCCAGGTGACTCACAGGTAAGCTCTTCTGTCTCCTGCGCTGGAGGCAGAGCCCCAGGGTCTCTGCAGACTCACTTTCGCTTCTTTGGCCGCCCCTGGTTTGTCACGTGGTTTCACCGAGGGCTCTGGTCTTCCCGCTCGGAGGCCTCCGTCATTCCGGAATTCTAGGGCGGTGCCCTCCCAACACCAGGGTCTTTTCACTCTGTAGTTTGGTTCCTTCCCATTTGCAGCCTGACACTCGGTGGGGCCCACACAGTGTCACCCAGATTCCATGCCAGTGCCACTCCAGGGACCCCACGACCTCCAGCTGCTTGGGCATCACTGAACCTTCAGCACTGCCCCCCCCCCAGGGCATCCTGGCCACAGCCTCTGTGACTCAGAATTTCCCCCCCTGGCTCCTCGGGCTGCCCGGATGAGCTCATGCTGTAGCTCCGAGGGGGACAGAGGGCCGGGCTGCACCAGGGGGTAGAGAGCAAGCTGCAGCCAGGATTGGGAAATCATGGGGGCGTAAAGCAGGAAGGCTCGTGGGGGGACAGGCCGCCTCTCCAGCTGGACTGGGAATCGGTTCCTCCCCATCTCCTGGGGCTGGAGAGTGAAAGGGGAGTTGGGACACAGGGCAACGGTAAAAGGACTTTCTTAGCCCAAGTGTGTGGCCTAGTGGCATCCAGAATAAATTTGCATACTTTCAGTGACGGAGAACTCATTACCTCTCAACCACCCCAGCGCGTGTGGGATTGCCGAGACTGAAGTAGGACTAAAATCAGGCCATGGTGCTCTCACCCGCCCGCCCCAGTCCTTGTCAGAACCACCCCACCCTCCCTCCTCAGCCCTTTGCTTCCAGGCATCTGCAGTATTCTCAGTGATAAATCAGTCCCCCTACGCTCTGGGCCACTTCTGCTCAGGCCAGCACGACCCCGACGACGGAAAGGGATGTGGTCAGGGAAGTCTGAGGAGAAAGCGGGCGGCGGGGCTGCAGGAGGCCCCGGGAGGCGAGCCTCCTCCCTCTGTCTCCACCCTCCGCCCCCCTCGGGCCAGGGGTCTGGCTCAGCTGGGCTCGTCCTTTTAGGGCCGCTGTGGGTGAAACCTTGAACACCTCCCTTCCCCATCCAGGGAACGGCCCGCAGCACCGTTGCCCGCCAGCCCGTGCCAGGGAAGGCAGAAAGCACCTGGTTGACACCCCGAGTGACTCACCCCCAGGGGAAGGGCAGAAGCAGCAGATTCAGCCTGGGGGGGCCCGAACTCTGAGCAGCCAGCCCCCCAAGTTGAGCTGAGCAGCTTGACGCCAGGCAGGCGCTGTTTGGTGGGGGCGGGGGAGAGGGAGGCCGAAAGCCTTTTGCATACAGCTGACTGGTTGGGGGGGGGGCACATCCCAGGCCTCTGGCTTCCATCTCCCTTTATGGGAAAGGGAACCAAGAGCCCTGAGGCTGGTTTTCTGTTTACTGTGGGCCCAGGGCCACTTCTGCTCCTAGCCTAGCTTCCTGTTAGTCCTGTCCTACAGCCCAGTGATTCCTCACATGTGCATGGTTCTACTTTCTCAAGCACTTTGCATCCTTCAGCCCCTCCCTCAGGCCTGGGAGTGGACAGGACAGACACACAGTCCCTGGGCAGAGAGGGAGCAGCCCCGGCGAGTCCCCGGGAGTCTACAGGCTGGTGAGGGCTGGTCTGCGTCCAGCAGGCTCAGAACGTGTGTGGGCACCAGGCAGCGTGCAGGGCCCGGCCTGCAGAGCACACACCGGCTCCGTGCCCCGTGCCCCGTGCCCGAGGGGCCCGCAGCCCAGTGGGTGCTCCCTGCAGGGTCATCCTCACCCGGGAGCTCACAGGCTTGTTTCGGTTTCTTCCAGAAACTTCTGCCCCTGCCCTGCTTCCTTGTTTCCCAGCGAGGGGAGCGTCTGGGTCAGGGGCCCGGACTGGGGAGGAAATGAGACTCTCGCTCCCTGTGCTCCGGGCTCACTGCTCCCCAACAAAATGTGCTCCCTGGACGTAGGCAAGAGGGAGGCCGGGGCGCAGGATGGAGTCAGGAGCCAGAGCGAGTCCTCTCCACCGACTTGGGTGTTTGGAGATGGTTTGGGGGGATGAGCCCGGGCAGAGATGTGCAGGAGGCGCTCAGTGCGAGAGCCGGATGGGAGCAGACAGGCACAGACCTGTGGGGCCCAGACACTCGGCACAGCCCTCTCTGCACCCATTTCGTTACCGGGGTGTAGACTGGCTGCAGACACCAGCTCTCCTGGGCCTCTCGTGTCCTGTCCCCTACGCTCAGGCCGCCATCTACTTTAGCCTGGATGTGCGTCCTTGGCCGGGCCGGCCTGAGGCTGGGGACCCTTCACCCCAGTCTCCTCTGTTCTCCCCACTGTCCAGCTAAGCTGTTCTCAGGTGGGGCTCCCCTGCTGCCCTGGGCCTTTGGCTGGGACCAGTCTTACTGGGAATCAGCACCCATCCCAGAGTGAGCGACAGGTCTATGCTCAGGTGGCCTGTCCCCCCGCCCGGAGGTCTCACGGGTGAGCAGGTCTGTGTACCAGGCTCTGGGTGAGGTCTTCACACCTGTGATCCTCGAGCTCTGAGAAGCAGCTGTGAAGCTGTTGTCCCCACTTTGCAGGTGAGGAAGTGGAGGTTTAAGTTTAGTTACGTTCCTCCGAGTTGTAGTCAGCTCACGTCACAGTCTGTGCTGTCAGTGGTGTGTCAGGCTGCCTTCCCAGCACTGAAAATCATTTCCTTTGCCAACCTGAGGTAGCAAATAACAGGGGTAACACACACAGCGGGAGGCCTCCTGGAGGAGGTGGCCTTGGGCAGCTGCGGGAGGCTCTGGGGAGCAGTCTGAGGGCTTCCTGGAGGAGGTGGCCTTGGGCAGCTGCGGGAGGCTCTGGGGAGCAGTCTGAGGGCTTCCTGGAGGAGGTGGCCTTGGGCAGCTGCAGGAGGTNTGGGGACCCTTCACCCCAGTCTCCTCTGTTCTCCCCACTGTCCAGCTAAGCTGTTCTCAGGTGGGGCTCCCCTGCTGCCCTGGGCCTTTGGCTGGGACCAGTCTTACTGGGAATCAGCACCCATCCCAGAGTGAGCGACAGGTCTATGCTCAGGTGGCCTGTCCCCCCGCCCGGAGGTCTCACGGGTGAGCAGGTCTGTGTACCAGGCTCTGGGTGAGGTCTTCACACCTGTGATCCTCGAGCTCTGAGAAGCAGCTGTGAAGCTGTTGTCCCCACTTTGCAGGTGAGGAAGTGGAGGTTTAAGTTTAGTTACGTTCCTCCGAGTTGTAGTCAGCTCACGTCACAGTCTGTGCTGTCAGTGGTGTGTCAGGCTGCCTTCCCAGCACTGAAAATCATTTCCTTTGCCAACCTGAGGTAGCAAATAACAGGGGTAACACACACAGCGGGAGGCCTCCTGGAGGAGGTGGCCTTGGGCAGCTGCGGGAGGCTCTGGGGAGCAGTCTGAGGGCTTCCTGGAGGAGGTGGCCTTGGGCAGCTGCGGGAGGCTCTGGGGAGCAGTCTGAGGGCTTCCTGGAGGAGGTGGCCTTGGGCCCGGAGTAAACTGAGGCTCTCTGCTCCTGCCCAGCTCCCTGGAGATGACCTGCTACGATAGTGACGATGCCAACCCCCGCAGCGTGTCCAGCCTCTCCAACCGCTCGTCTCCTCTGTCCTGGCGCTACGGCCAGGCCAGCCCGCGGCTGCAGGCCGGTGACGCTCCCTCGGTGGGCGGAGGCTGCCGCTCAGAGGGGCCGCCCGCCTGGTACATGCACGGGGAGCGGGCCCACTACTCGCACACCATGCCCATGCGCAGCCCCAGCAAGCTCAGCCACATCTCCCGCCTGGACTCGGACGACGCCGACCTCAAGTCCGGCTACATGAGCGACAGCGACCTCATGGGCAAGACCATGACCGAGGACGAGGACATCACCACCGGGTGAGGGCGGGCCCCGCGGCTGGGGGTGGTCTGGGGGACACTAGGAGGCCAGTGCGGCGGGACCCCCTTCCCAGTGGAGCAGAGCCTGCGGCCGGGGATCAGGCCTGCTGAGCTGTGACGGGGCCTCCTGTTCTGGTCCTCAGGCCCCTGAGGTGCACGTGGGTCTTTCTCGACTTGGGTGGGGTGGGCCGGGCCACCGCCTGGGGACCGATGCCTCCTCTCATTGGCCCCCGTGGCTGTCACTGTGGTGTCCCCCGCCCTGGTCTTTGACCCTCAAAAGGCTGGTAGGAGGGGCCCTGGAAGAGGTGTTGGTCCCAGCGCTTCTGCTGACACTGTGTGGACCTTGGGTGACCTCATCTGCTTCCCATTTGTGAAAAGAGGGTGATAAGACCAGATCTGTCTCGAGAGGCCACTAAGGAGAGGTGAAAGGCGCGGATGAAGCGGGCGCGAAACGGGTCAGGTGGCGGCTGCTCCTCCTCCTGTGTTCCCGGCTCCCGGCCCGTTTTACCCCGAGGCCCCCAGCGTCTGCGCCTCCACTTCCTCTGCCAGCCTCTGCCAGTCCTGTGCCCTCCTGTCCCTGCCCCAGCCTGTCTCTCCCCTGTTCTCACCCCACGGGACCCTCATCTTATCTTTTTCTGCCCCAGTTGACGGGGTGTGGTTTGTGGAGCAACTTGGACATGGGTGACAGCCTGGGGGGGACTGGAGAGGGTGGGAAGAGAGGGGCTGGTCAGGCCCTGAGACCGCAGAGCCACCTGGGTTCTGGAAGCTTCTCAGGGCATCTCCGCTGACCATGTCTCCACTGTTCCGTTCGCTGGGACCCTCTGAGGGACCACACAGGTGGCGGCAGGGACTCCCTCTCCCCAGGAAAATCTCCAGCTTTGAGAGAAGGGAAGGCCGAGAGCCCAGCTCGGGCCACCCACTGCTCCCCACCTAGGGAGAAACCAGGAGGGACCTGGCAGGGCCCGTACAGCGGAGGAGGCTGCTCTGGAGCAAAAAAAACCTGACGCATGAGTGGGGTTGTTTACTCCCTGTAAATCCCAGGCCCCAACCTCACGCTCAGCTCGCGGCCTGGAGCTAGGGCCGGAGAGAAGCCGGCCAGCCCCGCCTGTGCTCAGCCACTGAGCCACGCCGACTAGCCCCCAGTTTATTTTAGTATTTTCTTAAATGATCCAGTTTTCCCTGCTTGTCCTGCTTACCCCCCTGGAAGCTGTCCAGTTGTCCACGAGCCTCTTAAAATTTGGCACCTAGACGGCTCACCGCCTGACCCCTTCCCGCCCTGGTAATATACACATCATGACACTGTAGACAACTTCGAGTTGGCTGCTGAGTGCCCTAGGTGACAGCTCGGGACATTTTTACCTCTTGAAAAGAGAAAAGGAATTTGTTTTTCTAAAAATAGTTAGGTCTGGAATTTAATCTAATAAGATAAGGTCTGCAGCCATCTGTCGCCCATCCTAGCACCCTGGTTGGAGCCGGAGGGGATAGACACAGGCATGGGGTCTAGGCCACGGGTGCCCAGGTGGGAAGGGGTCACCCAGCCCTCCCTGCATCCCCCCCCACTCTAACTTGGGTTTACCTCCCAATGTCTCCATTTCTGTCTGCGTAAATGGCACTCTGGTGGCTGTGTCCCAGCTTTGCAGGGTGAGGAACCCGAGTCCCAGGCTGAGCCAGTCGCAGTACTGATGGGCCTCCCACCTCCAGGGGGCGCCTCTCACATCGTCCAGAGTTGTGTCCTCAGCAGCCCTGGCAGGACCACCATCCAGGGTCTCATGCCAGGGGCCGGGGGAGGAGGGGGCACAGGAGCTTAGATGAGCCAGCAGGCCCCGTCTTGAAGAGGCTCTGTGAGGGGGGGGAGGCTGGCGGGATTCGTGGCTCCTCGGGTGGCTCCCTGTTCCTCGTGTGGCTGAGTGTTCCAGTCCTCTGTTCCCTCCTAGCCACCCCTCCCTCCCCAGCCTGTCCTCTTGAACTGCGCCTGGGAGCTCAGGACCAGATGGGATTCGTTTCCTCCTTGGCTCTGAAGTGCCCTGACATTGAAAAATGTCAAATAAAATAAACCGGAGGCCCCTGCCTTCTCCTAGGCTGGCTCTGTGCTCCTGGAGGCAGTGCGCCCCGGCCTTAAAGGGACTCCACCCAGCCTTGCTGAGCGGCGGGGGCCTCTGCAGCCCCCTCTCGAGAAGGAGCTGGGCCGCCGCTGCCCAGTGTGGGGGAGCCCACCACCTTCACCCACAGGAATCCTCTCGCACGGCCGTTGGGTTTGTAGGTTTGTACAAGGAGACGAGAACCCGTCTGAATTTGGACGAGCAGGGAGAAGTCTTCTTTTCCTTCTGCCTTTGTCTTCTGTTTCCCAGGCCAGGCTTTGGCTTGAGCCACCGGGCCGTGGGGGCCACGCTGGGGAGGACCCAACGGTCAGGTTCAGGAAGGAAGCAGTAGCTGCCCTCAGATCGAGTCAGATCTGAAAGGAGGAAGGCGCCCCCTGGGCCCAGTGCAGAAGCAGCCTCATGCAGGTAGACTGCCTGGGTTCGAATCCCGCGCCTCCTCCCAGCTGTGAGTTTGGGCGAGTTCGAGCCCCTGCTTGGGTTTCCTCAGCTGAATGAGGAGGGGAAGGGTGCCTGCTCCGTCAGACTGACTGAGGGTTCAGTTAGTTACATGTTTACTGGAAATGTAACAACTGTTCGGCTGTGGCTGTGAGCGACTTAACAGGGGCCATCACCTGCAGATTCCCAAGGATGATACAGTAATTGGAAAAGTGTGTGTGAACCTTCACGTTTGAAAATGATGTTTCTGGCCCTCGCTGGGAGGACCACCTAAGTGGTTTGCCCAGCAAAATGCCTACACCCTGACCCAGGTACACCTGTCCATGCAATGTCCTCCTGCACCAAGAGGTGCCCACCTGTGGTCTGGAGCCCGGGCTGTGGGTGCAGTGTGTGGCTCTGTAGTGGAGCTGAGCTGGCTGCACACAGGACCCCACAAGCGAGCTCAGCCTCCTCCCCATCCTGACCTGGCTAACGGGTGTGTGCGCCCCTCGTTCGAACACGTTTGTCTTCGTGCATGAAGAGTGGCTTGGGCTGGGCTCCCTGAGGAGTGACCTTGAGACCGAGGTTTGAGTGCAAGGAGAGGGTGACTGCAGGAATCACCGAGGGGAAGCAGGGAAGTGAGTCACGGGGGAGTAAGGACATCTCATGGGACCCAGAGAGCAAGGAGCTGTGGGTATGAATCTCCCATTGTGTCCTGGTGGCTCCACGGGGAGAAATGCCTCCTGCTGAGGGTCCCAGGTGCCCCCAGGAACGCTCTGTTGGGGTCCACGGGGACCGTGGCTGCAGAGGGGACAGGGGTGGAACACAAATGGCCTCAATTATAAAGAGGGAAGGTGAGAAGGGAGGAGGGGAAAGAGGGTGTGGAGTCAGACTCCTGGGTCTGATGGGAGGAAGGGGGTGGCTTCAGAGAACCCCCCGCCTCTTGAAACATCCCCTTAATTCTTAAAACAAGATTGACAGCACTCCCCAGTCTGAGTGGGGTTCGTCTGCGTCGCCGTGTCTGTTCCGACCCAGCGGGGTTGGCGGAAGGTGCGAGTGAGCCAGGTATTCCAGAGGGGCAGCTGGATGGATGCTGGCTGCCATGGCAACGGATGCGGGGGAAGCTGCGGCAGGGCCCCTCCTCCCGCGTGTCCTAGTAACCTACAATCGAGCTGCTGGGTTTTCGCTGTCTGATGACATACCATTTGGTTGACAGTCAGCGTGGAGATGGGGTTGAGGAGGCTGTGGAGACGGGTTTGGCTTTTCCCACCAGCCGTGCCCGCCTGCCTGCCTGCCTGTCTCCTGATTGTCGGCCTCTCCTTTTTCCCAGGAGCCTCACGTTCTGTGACGAGCCGGCTGGGCTCGTGTGGGGCCTGGAGATGCGGAGCCGTCTGATGTTACAGGAGGGGATTCTGACAGGCCGGGGTTCAGACCCCAGCTCCCAGGCTTTGGGGAGACTGCCCGCATTCTGGCGGGAGCAGTAATGCGAGACTGGGATTGTTGTTGGGGCGACATAGAAGGTTGTGTTTTATGTACACCAGGTACCAGTTCATACACTAGGTATGCAGTAGGCTCTCAGGAAATGTCACCTCCCTTCTTTTGATTGGCGCCTGGAAACCCAAACCTATAAAAGTCCTAAAGGCTTTAGAATGCAGCTTTCCCACCTGGGGGGTCATGCCCAGTTGCCCGCTTGTCTCTGCCAAATCCCCTTCCTCCGGGAAGCCTTCCTTCATTCATCCCATTGCAAATGCTTGCTGTCTGGCCCTGGGTTGTCCTGGACTCTGTGTCAGTTGTTTGTACTGTAAGGACTCGTGTTTTCTTGATTCTCTAAGGGTTGCACAGCAGGGACGGTTTACAAACACAGGCACACTTTATCTTATTTTATTTTATTTAATCTTAACAACACTGTGAATTCGCTGAGCAAATCCGAAGGGGCTTAACTGGCCTGCCAGGATCCCGTAGCTTAAAAGTGGCAGCTCTGGAGCTGAACCCAGGCCCCTATCACCCACGGCCTCACGGTGCCCATCACACAGCCTCTTCCTTCTGTGTGGGGCCTACGCGCCCCTAAGCCTGGGGGCATGTCAGGGGCACGGGTCCCATGCCTTCTGCCGGAGTCGGAGCCTCTCCGGGACAGAGACCTTGTCTTCTCTCGCTCGACTTCCTTTCAACACCAGCAGCGTAGAGTTTAGGCTGTGCTGGCGACTGAGCAATGAACCCTTGTTAGACCCCTCCTGGGATGCCCCTAGGTGACCCCTCCATCTCCCAGGATAGGGTCTTGCTTTGGAGAACCACAGGGCAGTAGCCACAGGGCCCAGGGCGGCAGGCGCCCTGATCCTCTGTGAATACAGGTCCTTGTGGACTCTGCTCAAAGGCTCGGCTGTCTCGGGAGGAGCACGAGGGGCCAGCTCTGGCCTCCAGGCTGTCAGATGGCTCTGGCCAAGCAGCTGACGACAGGCCAGCAGGCGAGGCAGGGGACTTGCCCGCGGA